GATGATGATTGAGAAGCTTAAAAAAAAAAAAACAAACTGGTGCCAGGTACCACAACAGTAACAGAATTTTGCTGTTTTCTGAGATTTTTGTTTTGTACTTTTTTTTTAATGGAGTGTGCTGGATGTCTATTATTTTTGTTCCGATGACTGCAGAGCCTGGAAAAGCTGTTGCTGCTTTTGATGCATAAAACAATGCGACTGGTCTTTTTTAATAAATGTCTATTATTTTTGTTCCGATGACTGCAGAGCCTGGAAAAGCTGTTGCTGCTTTTGATGCATAAAACAATGCGACTGGATTTTTTTAATAAATATATATAAAGATTTACATGAAAGTCCACCAGAGAACTCCATGGTGTGCCTAGACAGAGCTGCAAATCAGAGTGGGATCTAGTAATAGTCTACACACAGGAGTGGGATGGAATGGGAGTCTGAGTCTGAGCAAGGAGGGGAGGGTGTCTGAGCAAGAGGAGGGCGGCAGAAGAGATGGAAGACTGAGGGGATTGTTAAGATAAGGAAATGTCCTGAGGTTTTTCACTGTCAGCGGAGAGAGCTACACAAATGGAAAAGGAACACACTTGAGTGATCCCTGTGATGATGCATCACTGCGAATACATGGTATTCAGTGTAGATGCAATTGAGTGTATACATGTGTGCACCGCCCATGCTTATTCCCAGCTCTGTCCACTGGGAGGGGGAGGTGGTCTTTTGTTTTTTCTGCTGTGTACTGTCGAATTGGATTCGACTGGCATAGGAGATTGCCCTTCTCCAGCGGAGCATCTGGTGGATTTAAACCATGTGTCTTTGGGATTGCAGAGCAGCTTCTTGCCACTAGGCCACCAGAGCTCCCTAAGTGAGGGCTTTCTTATTTTTTTCTTTTTTATGTCCCAATAGACCTCAGCACGCCTTAACACTCAGATCTTGGTTTCTAAATGCCATTTTCCACTAAAAGGAACCTGGGCTCTTTGGACAAACAGCTTATTCCTGGGTTAGAGTAGAGAAGATACAACATGACCATGGAGAATATTAAGCCAGAAAGCAAGGAGGTCCTCAAAGAATGAGGAGACATGTCTAAAGAGCACAAGCCACCTGAGTGGGTTCCTACTGGTCAAATCTCACTGAGCACTGAAATAAATAATGATGCATGAAACGGGCCTGTGAGTCCATACTGATGGAAATGTACCAATACAGTGAAAGTTTGCTGAGGAATGCAATACTTGTGCAGTTTCAAAGTACCTTCCCACAAAGTATGCATTAATTTAAAGAGGAAAAAAGATACAACTTCACAGGGAACCTGGCAGGTATCACCTTAGTGATTAAAGGGAACAGTAGTGTATGGGAAGCCAAACTTTATACCAAATATTATATGAAAACCCTTGTTCAGGAATTGAAGGAATTACAGATTTATAAGTTAGGATTTCTCTTGTGGCAGATCACAGAAAATGAGCTGTTTGTTCCCTGCAGACAGGAGACTGCTAGGGCCCCCTACAGAGGGAGTGTTACTTCCTGTGAAATACTTACTGAGCTAGAGCATTAGGTTGACAATAGAGAAAAATTCAGCTTCATTTACAAGGAATTCCTTTTATGATTTGTTTCCCCTGTTTATGAATAAATAAATACACAGAGAAACATGACTTGGGGTCTTCAGTGGAGAACTGCTGGCCCCGTTTTATGCTCTCTGCTCTATCTCATTCCTGGCTGTTTATCTCATTATTAATAATTATAAAATTACTTTACCCTTGGTCTGCAACAGTAATGGATTAAAGGGAACAGTAATGGGACAAAGTGACAGCCTGTGTGGCCTGACAGGACACAGCACATGAAGGGCTCTGCAGGGGCAAGAAAAGTACAACATGTAAGTCCTTTTGCAAAAAAATGACACCATTGGGATGAATGTTCACTTGAATAAAGTCTGTGAACTAGATAATCATGTGTGAATAAGGAATCCTGGTGGTGCAATGGTAAAGCACTTGGCTGTTAACTGAAACACTAATTGCTTGAATCGACCCAGTAGGCCCACAGAAGAAAGACCTGGGAATCTGCTCCTGTAAAGACTGGAGCCTAGAAAACCCTATGGGGCAGTTCAACTGTCACACAGGGCCAATCTGAGTCAGAATCAACAGCATACAACAATGAGGAATCAGGAGCAAGGACTTTGTAAATTCTTACCTAACTTGGGAGGGACTGGAGAGCATTATGCTGAATGAACTAGCTCAGTCCCACAAGGACAAATATTATAGGATGAGAGATCAGTTAGGCTGGAGACATGGCATAGAGAGAGAGACTGGGGGAGCAGAGATCAGTGGGGAATGAGGGGACTCCCCGTGGGCTGCTGGTGCAGAATAGGCTCTCCTCAGATGAAAATGCTGGGATGCAAAGCGAGCACATCTGCCAACAGGGAAGCTGGGCCAGGAAGTGAGCTTTCCAAGTGCAAGGTGCTATCCATACCCTGGGGAGCTCTGGGTGGTCTAGTGGTAAGGAATCACACTGCCAACCCAAAGGCACATGGTTGGAACCCACCAGCTGCTCTGTGGGAGAGCAACCTCCTTCTGTGTGATTTATAGATGGCCTCTGAAAACCCACTGGAGGGTCCGATATGAGTCAGTTCCGGCTCCATGGCACACAGCAGGCTGGCAACAAGCCACAGCCCATGTCCCCAGTTAATTGTCAACACACAATTACAGAGTGTTGCTCACAGAGGGCCACGCTCGGCGCTGTGGTGTTAAGGATGAGTCAGGCGTTCAGGGATGAGTAAGGCATGTGGCCTGCGGTCAGAGGCTCCCAGGAATCATGGTCTCTGGTTTTTACATTCTTACTGTCTGTGAAGCAGTTTTCCAAACTCCTGTGCCTGGAGCACTTTTCCCTCATACCCTCTCTTAGAACAGTCCTCCAGACAGGAGACCTGGCTTAGCAGTGGTTCCGAAGGGGACTGAGTGAGTGCAAATTTGAGCTGAGCAAGGAAAAGCGTGCTGTAGTGCTAAAAAGACAGAGGGAAGGGAAGCTCACTGTACCCATAACCGTACAATAGGATTTGCACAGACTCATTTCTAGAAACTCAGCACCACCACTGATAAAACTAAGGGCATTCAGAACTTAATAACTCAGATAGGAAGGGTGTAGAAACAAGACACCTGGGGACCAAATTAAGGAATTGGGACTGTTTTGCTAAGTTCAAAGGTTTTAATTTTAAACCACCCCCACACATCTGTTCCTTAGGGACTTCTTGTTATGTCCTGTCAAGTCATAGTGAGCCTACGTACAACAACCCTAAACCCTACTCTACCTTGTGCCAATCTTATTGTTTCTGACACACCCACCCCCATTACCCCAGTCACTGAATCAATCCATCTTATCCAGGGTCTTTCTCTTGTGTTGTCCCTCCACCCTCCCAAGCATGACGTCCCTCTCCAAGGACTGGTCCTCCTTACCACATGTCCAAAGTATGTCAGACGGAGCTTCAGAATCCTTGTTTCCAAGGAGCAGCGTAGTTTCACCCTCTCTAGGACAAATCTGTTCGTTCTCTTAGCAGTCCCTGGGATATTCAATACTCCTCTCCAGCACCACAGCTCAAAGGCATCAATTCTCCTTCTATTATCCTAGTCACTTTTCAGCTTCTGGACAGTGTTTTCTGATGCATAACAAGTAATTGTGAAGATGATGGCATGGATCAGGTGAACCTTAGTTTCCAGACTGACATAGTTGCTCCTTAGTACTCTGGAGAGGTTTCTGACAGGAGATTTTCCCAGTGCAATTC